AAGGGCAAGTCCTATGAAGAAAGATTGAAGATTATGAAGCTTCCAAGCCTCAGTTATCGACGTCTGCGTGGGGACCTCATTGAAATATACAAGTATACTTATGGTTTATACAAGGTCCCCGAAGGATTACTAGAATTTGAAACAAAACCAACACCAGGGGCCACGGCTATAAACTAAAAAAACTGCGCTGCAACTTCTCCACGCGACAAAATTTACTCTCGCTTCGAATCACCGACATGTAGAACAGCCTCCCCAATGACATCGTTGGCGCTCCAAGTATAAACGCGTTCGAGAACAGACTAGATGAAGCTATGGGAAAATATATGTTCAGATTTGAACTGCCTAGCACCATATCGAACCCGGTGGAAGTCTAATAGCTACTTGAAACTATCGTCAGTCATGAAAATATCCGGTCAACTGAAAACGATATTGAAAGAATCGGCGACAGGCCACATCAGGCCTACACTTCAGCGCCGAGATCAATATGTTATGTTATTTGTTCAGAGCGCCAATATTGCAAGGAATTGCCCTGTTGCCGGCGCGTGATGCGGGTGGAGTCTGAAGGACCCACTTTGTGTCACAGGCAACCGTAAGATTTCTATAATTGATTTGATGGAAGAATAATACAGTGGTACATATAAAGTATACTGGATACTGGACTGTCTGTTAACAGCTGAGGATCACACAGTATTGATGGTAACAAAAAGGAGTTGAATGAGCAAATTGAAATTTAGATTCAGATGTAAATTTAAGTGTGATATAAGGAGCATGAGAGGGGCTAGCAGTAACTGCACGGAAGAAATACCTAATCAATACATATGCTATAACATATTAAAAGCAGAAATGCCTAGCACCATATCGAACCCGGTGGAAGTCTAGTAGCTACTTGAAACTATCGTCAGTCATGAAAATATCCGGTCAAATGAAACGATATTGGATCTTCTGTGGAAAAGGAAAAGAATCGGCGACAGGCCACATCAGGCCTACACTTCAGCGCCGAGATCAATATGTTATGTTATGTTATTTGTTCAGAGCGCCAATATTGCAAGGAATTGCCCTGTTGCCGGCGCGTGATACGGGTGGAGTCTGAAGGACCCACTTTGTGTCTCAGGCAACCGTAAGATTTCTATAATTGATTTGATGGAAGAATAATACAGTGGTACATATAAAGTATACTGGATACTGGACTGTCTGTTAACAGCTGAGGATCACACAGTATTGATGGTAACAAAAAGGAGTTGAATGAGCAAATTGAAATTTAGATTCAGATGTAAATTTAAGTGTGATATAAGGAGCATGAGAGGGGCTAGCAGTAACTGCACGGAAGAAATACCTAATCAATACATATGCTATAACATATTAAAAGCGCAGCATTCAAGTTGAATTTAGTGGTGTTCAAGTTGAAGCACTGAGGAGAAAAGTTAGGTTACAAAATCCTAATTTAGCCATGCCCCCTCTTAAAAAATATTCAGAATTAAATAGGAATTAAATTGATACTCAGCAACACTCGTTCGGAATTAAAGGAATGCGAAGCATTTCATGGACACAAGCAAACTAAAATGATGCAAAAAGTATTGAAGAGATTCAGCTACTGTTTAAGTGCTTAAATGCAACAGTAATACTACCACCTGACGGCAGTAATCAATTTTGAATCGTGGAACATAAATGGATTTAACACTTAGCACTTGAGAGAGATGAACAACTGTGCAATAAGAGTACCACCTATTTGCCATCCGAATAATTTCCCAACAATAACGCCTACCTAAACACTCACCCAAGCATTAGGTCTTCACAGCACAAGCCATCAGTATAAAGTAGACATATGTATCAGTATAAAGTAGACATGCCTGCATATTTTCAGTTTTCCTGTAGCTACATTATGTACGAAAAAATATGATTTTTCCTCTATATAGTCAATTAGACTTTTGAGTCAGTCGTAGTATGGGCCTGGCAAGAGAAGAGGAAGGAGGCAACGAAACGACTCCGGTGAAGCACACGTGTGCACACAGTTTTCTGATGAAGTACTTATTGAGGACCTCTCAGAACTCGAGGACAAAGGTGTAATGTGTGCCGTTTCTTATGATCATTAATATATGAGAACTTTATACGCAATTTACTCTTAAAATTGTGATTTGGGAACAATTTTACTCCAACTTCTCCCATGGAAGCTAAAGCGATGCTATAGCATTTATGTATCTCCAACACAGTAGCACTCGACAACGGTCCTATAGTGGTAGATCAGTATTCAATATATCCTATTACTATGGCGGCTTCTGAAGTGAAAGATATTGACGACGTACTTGATAGCCTCGGCACCGGGAAATGGAACGTTATCATTTTTCTTCTCTGCAGTCTATGTGAGTATACAAATTCAATACATATCAATGAGAACTATGAAAGAGTAAATATATTTATTCCTAACGCTGTATTTCACCTGACACTTAGCTTGCAACATCACTTTAGACAATGCAGGAAGCTTTTATTAAACAGCGCCAGAATATGGTTCATATACTAAAAAAATTAACGTGTTAAAGTTTAAAAGAATTATAATTTTATTGAGAAGCAAACAGAAAACTCTTACCGAAATTAATAGAAGGTCAAGCGGTTGCTGAATGGTTGAAATTAAGAGGACTAAAATTGTGTAGATGTGAGTTGAGGGTTCAATCCAAGCTAACTGTACAAGTTTTGGTGGAATGCGACGCAGTGGCTTGTGGTAAGCGCACCAACATTGAAGCTGTAAGTTACTAATGCGAAGGCCCAGCAAGCGGTAATAATTCTGTGTTGTCTAGAATTTTGCCGATCAACGTCGACACCGCTGTTACTTATCGTTGATCACCGCTGTTACTTGTTTAATTAATAAATTTCAATCAATAAAATGTGAAATGAACTAATAGTGTAATTATTTTATTTTAAACTTTGGAAAATTACTCCCCAATCCCAGTAGTTTTTAAAATATTCTATTCATTTCAACACAATATTACAAAATAAGGAAAAACTTCAAGCAGATTAGAGAAAGGTTTCTCTGGTGAATAAAATCGAATAAAATTCACTATATGTGACCTGCTCATTTTATTTCTCATCTAACGAGTTATTAAATGCAACTTGTGATTCTTCGGCCCTGTTTCTTCTTATAACTTTAGATGCTTTACAGCGGCTCTCAGGATACCGCCCCAAATGCNACTTATCCAGGAATTAGCCGGCTAATATTTTGATTGCTGGAATTTTACAGGAGCTGTATATTTAAATCCTCAAATTATTATTAGTTATCACAAATGTATGAAAAAAGTTGAGTTCTCTAGAACAATAAACCCATGCAGGAAGGGTAGGAAGTTGCCAATGACCGTAGGAATCATCGGCTACGCGCTCACTCCCGTCGCCCTGAGCGTCATCCCGTCACTCGAGGTCATCCTCTTCTGTCGTCTGCTGCTGGGGTTCTTTCATCCTATTTTGCTGACATCCTTTTATACGATTGGTAAAGTTGACTTTTATTCCGTTGTTTAGCTCTGATATTTGTTACTGTGCTTGTAATTATTAATGTCAGTTAGGAGTTACTTTATGATGATATCGAGGCAGGAGAAATGCTAATTAATTCTGCACACTCAGCTCTTTGAATTTGAAATGCTAAAACGTTATGTACCACAACGTTGACAATTTTCATCATGATTGTAAGCATTATAATAACTGACAATAATGTGAATAGTTAATAACGATCGCTTGCATACTTGTTTGGATTTAAAATTATTTATATAAAAGAAGTTAAAATGTTCAAAATTCACTTCTCACACCGGTCGGACACTTCAGCGGACTGGCCTGCGGACTCGAATCAAAACCTAACTTGACGTTCAACTCACCCAGCCATAAATCCATAAATAATGAACGGATTTTATTCAAATTTGACTTATAAATAGATAACATCTGTAATTTGTGGACGGAATTTTTTCAAATTTTTACATCAATTACTTTTTTCTAATGCCACAAAATACTGAAACTTGACCTGACTATGACCTAACCTGCGAGGTGAACGCGAAGTTAGGTTTTCCGTATTAATAAAAAATATAACTCAGTACTCACTGCAGTGAGTGACAGCGAGCGCATTTTCTCGTCGATGAAAACTTGAGGTCACGGACGGACGTACAGACAGACAGACAGACGGACATGGCGAGCACAATAGTGCATTTTTTCCATAAATGAGAAAATGCGCTAAAAAGTCATTGATGTAAAAATCTGAAATAATTCCGTCCACAAATTACTGATATTATCTACTTATATTTCAAATTTGAATAAAATCCGTTCATTATTGATAGATTTATGGCTGGTTGAGTTGAACGTCAAGTTAGGTTTTGATTCGAGTCCGCAGGCCAGTCCGCAGCCGAGTCCTCTGAAGTGTCGATTCGGTACTTCTCACAACATATTTTTAGAATAACTCAGTTGTCATACTTAAGAATAGTGTTAAGACATTTTTCTACTCAATCAACAACCGGAGTTATTAACAGGAAATATACCATACATTCTCGTGTATGCGACTGTCAGTTGGAGTGTTTCTCGTTTGTTTGAAACTTCCTTTATGGTCTCATGTGGGACTCCTGAGGCATGTGGTCTCATGTGGGGCTTGACTCCTGAGGTATGTGGTCTCATGTGGGACCATGACTCACAAGCAAGACCTAGCGATGGTAAATTGTTCATGATCCGTGGGCCAAGAATATATTGCAATTATCATGTTGAATGGTCATACATTTTTGAGTCATTAGTCCGTTAAATCTTGATTACCATCGCTTTTCCTCTTGAAAACTTCATAAAACTCGTGCTACCTCATGAAAAAATTTAATACTAACAAGAATGTTAACATGAACAGCATTAGAAGTGACTCAACCGAAGCACCGAGCGACTGTGGGAGTGTTGGTAGCCCTGCCGTGGGCGCTAGGCACTGTAGCCTGGGCTGGACTCGGATACCTAATCAGGGATTGGCAGTGGCTAATGCTTACTGCGACTGTCCCTTCTGTTTTCTTCCTGCCCTGTATCTGGTGAGTGAAACTATCGATTCCTGCGTACAATTCCGCATATTGGTTTAGTTAGCAGGGAATATGAATCAACGCTAACCATGGCAAAATAGCAGTGAATAGCAACAGCATAACCATGGCAAAATACTAAATAGCAGTGAATATGAACCAACACAAACCTTGCGGTAGATCGTGTAGAAAAGCTTCACGCGAAGTCGGCACAAAATTTAGGAAATAGGACAAGAAAATTCACAATTTTAAAACTGTTATTTCAACCGTGTAGGCGAAAACTATTAAACTCGTTCAATTTAAATAATATGGTATATCACATGAGAGATTAAATAGTCTTGGGTAAGCTGAATCAACGAGTCATTTACCGTTAGGCCTAATGCAGAATTTATTTCGAGCTACTTTGAGGCATGCTCATTCAATCATGGCAGGTTAGTATTATAGCATCCCAGCCTTCAGTGATGGTGGGTCGGTGCCATATATTTCTTTACGTATGTCATGTCAGTCAAAGGAACTTCGCACCTAAATGAGATGACCATCGGAATTTGTTCCATTCAAATCAAATATATATGCATATTTTTTTTAAAACCAACACCGTAACATGAATGATGAATAGCCAGCCTACTGTGCAAATTATCCATTAATTTCAATTGTACACTTTGATGATGATTTAATGGTATATTTGAGAAGAAATTGACTGACCCTTTCTTGTTTAGCCCATTACCTTCCAATATCAGCAAAATTCAGCGAGAAGTAATTCATTCCCCTTTGGGAACCATTTTTTGTCCCACGTGTGTCACCGTGCAGGCTGATAGATGAGTCACCGCGATGGCTGGTCGTTCACGGACATCACGACAAGGCGATCGAAGTCTTCAGGAAAGCGGCAAAAATCAACGGAAGCGAGCTGCCCAGCGAAGCCGAACTGCGAAGCATCATGGAGATCACGCAAAAAGTCTCGATCCCATTTCACTATAGAAGTGAATCTAGAAAACTATTGGGACATATTACGATAGTAGTGAATCTAGCAAACTATTGCAACATTAAGGTTTCAACAAAAATGCATATAAGTTTTGGTCCGGATTAACTAATAAGTGTCCAAATTAGCCCAATAAATGCCTACTTAGGAAGACACAGAGCATAAATATTGTTTTGATTGTTCAAGGCTACAAATTTCTTACATGCTTTGATATGATACCAGAGTCTCTGTACGTAGACCAGTTACGAAAACTTATCGTGTCACAAGAAGTGTTTTTATCTGTTTTAATTTGAACAATGGAAAAGATAGACTTGTAGCGATTGAGTTACATAATGGAAAAACTCTAATTCTGTCTAATATATAACGTTCATTTTCAAGAATGCTGCGGTTAATGATGCCAAAAGATGCGCAACTACAACAGGTGCATTCAAGAAACTTCTCAAGGGGATCGGTGTTCTCTTCAGGTAATCCACGATTCTTCGGAGTAATAAATAAATTTGTCACATCAATTCAATTGAAGTCAAGGATTAAAAATAATTTGATTGATTTGTAAATTGCATTGCAAATATAATTTAAATTGTCGTTAATTGATTCAGAGTTGAGACGCAAAAAGACTTTTCATTGCAAAAGCCAAAACAAGTTCTACCTGTTTAATCAATGAATTGCAGTAGCTGCTGAATTAGGCTCATCTCAGTGAACTCATATCTATTAATAAACGGGCAGGTTTCGAGTCTGGTCTCATTAAACCCAAAACTTTATATAAAATTACAATGATACGAGCAGTACTCACACCCTTCGCCTGCGAACCTTTACGATGTGGGTGCTTTTCTTCGTGGCTTCAATGGTCTTCTACGGTCTATCGCTGAGCGCGGTGGCGTTCAGCGCAGACCCCTTCATATACATGGCGGTCGGTGGGCTGATGGAGGTACCCGCCTACACATTAACTGCTCCTATCATCGACTATTGGGGCAGAAGGCTGCCTACATCGGTGTCTTACTTAGTGTGTGGAATCAACATCCTCGCCCTCACTTTCATACCCAAAGGTAAATATGCGAGTTAGGGACCAGTTCCAACAGGTCTCCTCACTAGTTGTTAGTTTAATCAACCTTCTCGCCTTGTAACCAGAGGCCAAAAGATCGAGTTCGAACTCAGAAAAAACATTTTCAGAAATCGTATTCCCTTGCTATTTACGTTTTATTACTGAGAACGCTCTGTGATTTTCAAGTAGAATATTTTCAGGCGTGGGTTGGCTGGTGATCACTCTGGCGATGATAGGCAAGCTGGGGATCAGCATGGCGTATCAGATCATCTACATGTACATACTCGAGCTCTTGCCAACCGAAGTACGCCTCCAGGGCCTCGGATCCTCTATGATCGCTTCCCGAGTTGGCTCCATCTTGTCGCCTTTCATCACCGACGTCCTGGTGCGATATAATTTCATTGTCACACATAAATCGTTTAATTTATCCATCACGTGAACTGCTACTGTAAAATCCCGCCTTATGAACCTCCTACCTTAAGACCAAATTGACTCATGAACCGTCAGATCGAAAAAAATATGGTCCGCTATACGACTGTGATTCGCTGAAAGACATCATTCACTGCAAAAATGCAGTGAAGTGGTGTAAAAACTGTCGATATCTATCGGTGATAAATAGGACATAATTAGAAACACGTGGCCGGTTTCCGCCTAGTCGACTTGGCCAAGGAATTCATCCGAAATAAGAGTACAATCCACAATATCTTGGGCCAGAAAGATTTTTTTGGGCACCTTAGCCTGAAAACAATTCATTTCACCCCATTGTATGTACAATATATACGTAAAAGAGATGAACTTTTTGGAGGCCCAACGCGGATCGGAGTACTTTTAATTAAATATAAATGAAAAAGTGGGTTTGCTTTAGGAACGAATAGCTTCACGAGCCGAGTTTCTGCACGAAGCAAGTTGTGGGGCGGAGTTCCACTGAAACTGATTTTTAGAGAGATTCACTAAATTTTCAGTTTATTTTGGTCAATCATTCCTACGTTCTTCTCGGTGTGGTCAATGCTCATGTATCGTTTTCATTATGTTTCCCACGAAATAATGAAAAGTTTTTACAAAACCTTCACTGAGCAGTGAATTTAATTACATTGTATGTAATAAATTGTAATTATATAATTACATAGACATTATTGCATTGTATATTTTATCGCTCATATAAGTGAACTGCTGATCTCAGGGTGAGAGCGTCCCATGGCTACCGTCTGTCATCTTCGGGGGAGCCAGCATAGTCGCTGGGCTCATGACCCTGCTTCTTCCTGAGACGAACAAGCAGCACATGCCTGACACTGTCGCCGAGCTCGACCAGACTCAAGTTCTGCCCGACAAGAAACAAATGGACAGGAAAGTAACCATAGATATTCAAGAGACTGATGAAATTACTGAGAAGCCGTCAAGTAAGTTCAGGAGAATGCGTCAGTGGCGCCAACAAACGGGACATCCTAAGAGGACGAGCGCAGCCGGCGGAGTTCCTCTCATGTCGCGTCCTGAGTTCCGGAATATTATCGCAGAAAATATGCATAAACCTCAGAGTGTAATAGAAGAGACAAGTAAAACTAAAAATCAAGAGGAAATCTAGCATTTGAAAGGAGATTTTCTGCATTCTGGCATTCTAGAAATATGATAGACATTTTAAAGCTTATTGTGCGTTGAAGCCTGAGATTCTGGTCACAATATTATGAAGAAAGTTGTTACAATGGTGATGTTGCGAACGAAGAAGTGAAAATTTCCAATGCCGAGACGAGTGTCTTGTATCATTGAGCACTTGATAACTTTCTCTGCTGATAGATCTAACTGAATAACCCTTATGACTTCATTCAATATAGAAAATTAACAGTTGTTTTTATTCAGTTGAACACGTTATGTAGGACTCAAGTCTTTCCGGATCAACTTCATGACACATTTAATGTTATAACTTATAACTAACGCTTGAATTTATCATGAACATGGAGGTATAAATTCAACGATGATAGTACAAGTTCCAGGTTCCCTTCTAGCATCAAGATGCTTACAATCCGGCATTATTAAAGTTTTGCAAATTGAATAAATTTGCTTATCGCCCATTGTCCCTGCAGGTTAAATGGAGCAGTCGCTTATTTCCACCAAAGTATCATGTAAAGTTCGAGAAATCTATCTGGCTCCCTGTGAACATGTTGAGTAGGTCTCCAGATTTACGTATGTTTTTTTTAATTTTATTCGTAATTATTCGGTGTATCCACATGTAGCACAAATGTTGAGCAAAATAATTTACGTTTCGTAACCTGTCTCTTAATAAATTTATTATTCAATCCAGTTCAGTAGTGGTAAAGTCAAAGAACATAAATAATTGTCCTGCTTCTTTGTCGTCAAAGAATTCAATGATAAATATTATTTTTGTCGAAATTATTTTGACATCTGCTTTTAAAGAAATGACTCCCCAAAACGTGTTGATTTTGATTCTAAAAATTAGAAATCTTGAAAAGCATCGTTATGTTCGTCCTTTTGTCTGAGAGTGAGTGCTTTTTAAAATCAAATTTTGACCATGCACTCTGAAGAAAGTCTCACCACAAGGTAAGTGATGAATTCTCATCCATCCTACTTGGACGATAAATATGCTTTCTGGCTTAAAATAGGACAACGCTATTTTGGGTTTGGATAGGATGGCTCCAGACCTCACCTCACATAATCTTTGACTCTATTTTAGTGTAACGATAAAAAATACACTGGGATTGAAATGACCAAAAAGTCAGAGCGAGTCAGTCCTTTTTTGAAATAAAAAAATTGTGTAATTCCCGTCCTTAGTAAGATCGATATGAATGCCTTGACGTTATGTGCATCGGCGGAATAAAAAATGAGTTTGATTTTGGAAAGATGATGCTTCAACAAGTGGAGAGAGGGACTCGTCTGCTGCACAGCGCAGCTAGGCTCACGTGACCTGCAGTGGGCGATGCTTCCCCTGTGTAGTGGGAGCCAAGGCCCGACGAGAAAAAGGAACAGACTCGAGTGGAGATCTGATGTCACGAAGGGCCTGTTGATGTTGTAATTGCTCATCCTGGTAGTGGCAACCAGGGAGGGGGGGTGATAGGTCAGTTTTTCCGGGCACTTGGTGCCACTGGTAGTTCTACGACCATCACTGGCTCGCTGACCCGCCAGAACCATTTGATTGCATTACACAACACCCTGGACAAGCCAGGTACTCATTTATCAACCTGAGTTGGATGAATGGCTGAGTTGACCATGAGCTGAGCTTCCCGGTAGAACTTGTCCTCAGTGAGACTCGAACCCGGGAGCTGATTGCGAAAGACAGAGTCTCTCACCACTGCACCATCACAGCTCTCGAGGCAGCGAGGGGCCTCGAGGCAGCAAAGTGCCCTCAAGGCAGCTGTCACGAGACGAGCGTCGAGGCAGCGAGGTGCCCTCAAGGCAGCTGTCACGAGAGGGCCTCGAGGCAGCGAGGTGCCCTCAAGGCAGCTGTCACGAGACGAGCGTCGAGGCAGCGAGGTGACGCAGTCGTCTAGTTCAGTTATATCCTGGATTGGCAACTTGTAAACGGATACTAATATCAATCCCTTTAATTGATTACCCTAAAGCGTCATATGTGGCACAAAAATTTATCAAATGGCCAAGACCATTCTGATGTAGCAATAAAAAATAACACTTTATTACTACCCTCCAAGCACCTTATGCTGAGAAATCATGCCAATGCCCTTGAGTAACAGTCAACGCCCACTGTACTGCGTACCGTGTACGTACTTGCTAAACTATGTAAAGTGAGTATTAATTTGTTTAGTTTACAGCTCGTTGCAGGGCAGTCCTGCGAACTGGTCATATTAGCCTCAGTTGGAGAACGCTGTTAGTCGACTGCAGACGCGGGTGCATGTCTTGTCCTAATATAATAATGCGAATGATCCTCAGTTTTTCACAGAAATTCAGATTTCAAGTTTACATCTACTTGAAGAGATTTGTTAGTCGAATTCGTGAAGTAATTGAAGTTAATTTCATTGATCAAAATCAATCTTTTTATAAGAAGGATTAACTTTTCCCTTGCATTACATCGCTTTAAAATCGTTGAAATATTTCGTATTTAATTGTCTTTCGTACTATAAATCATTAAAAGTATCATCGTTATAGCAATGACAACTGAACCAAAACTAGAAGATTTGGATGATATATTGACGCGCTTGAAAACAAAGCGTTGGAATATTGTCACATTCGTCTTATGTGCTACATGTGAGTAACATTTTAAGGAGATCCCACTTGTACGTACTAATATTTCAGCATGGTTTAACGACGAACGAATTCTTAACATAATAGTTATTATTTTCTGTAACGTTCCTTTCTGTGAGAAACTTTCTGCATGAAATAGATCGCGTTTTGATTGCATCCCATCAACCCGAGACTCTGCTACTTATACTTATGAGTTCAGCTGTTACGCTTTCGCCCAGACGCCGGTTTAATGAGAAACAAGAATTAGAATTTCCTAAGACAGCAAAGTCCTCTGACGAGTATTGTGCGTGATTGTATCTTCGGCGCTAATTCCAACGAATTTTGCTTCAGTTTTTAAACGTTTTTTAATTCTTTTCGTTCAATAAAACAGCGGCGCTGATTCGTCCTCCCCATGCGTTTTCTGGAGCGTTTGTGGCGCCTATTTTGAACTTCACATGCGCCACAAAAGCTTTTGTAGAGATGGACATCCTCGAGTCCGAGACGCTGCTGTTCAACACCTCCGCTGCCCGGGGCCTCGACGGTGACCAATGTTATTACAGAGACGAAGAGCGAGGAGCTTACGCTGCTTGCCGTGATTTCATCTACGACAATTCCGTGTTTTACTCAACTTTGACTTCCCAGGTGAGTGAGCAGGGAGTATTACAAAAATTTGTGTGGGTGCAGCTACTAAACCTCAGGAATATCGTTTTTAATTTGTTTGTGTGATCTGTCTTGATTATGGTATAAATTATAATTATCATGTCGTTCTATTGAAGAATCAAAGCTTCAATCTTCTCAATAAAACATTATGAACAAAACAAATCGAAAGAGTGAAGCAATTCCTGCTCTCGTGCCAGTACGATATGGTGTGTGGCAGAGCGTACTTGCGTTCCACCTACAGTTCTGTCTACATGACCGGCGCCATGTTGGGCTCCTTCAGCGTCGGTTACCTCGCCGACTGGTGAGAGAGAACTTAGCAAATAAGCCAGCGATATGATAATGTCATGTAAATAAGGATTAGAAATTATGTTATAAATTGAAGGAACGCAGCTTGAAACATTCAATATTTAAAATATTTTTTCATAGATTTTTAAACAAATCTGTTGTTTGTTCAGAGCGCCAATATTGCAAGGAATTGCAGAAACAAGAGAGATATATTTTTTTTGCAGGAAAGGCCGTAAGCCGGCCATCGTGACCAGCATTGTTGGGTACTTGGTGGTACCGGTGATCATGAGCTGGACTCCATCCCTTCTGGTGATAATGATTGCCAGGTTTATTTTAGGCTTTCTTCAGCTTTTCTGCTTCGCCGCCTTCTATACTGCCGGCAAGTTTTATTCAAGTCTTATAACTTATAGATCTATTTAATTTACAACCTACGTTCTTCATCATTGCAAGTACTTCAAAGCACAATGCAGCCTTTTCTGCAAAAATGCAGCCGAGTACACCTTTCGTACTCATGTCCTAATATTAATGCAAAGACAAATTTTTCATCTTTCAAGAGACAAGCCATAAATAAAAATTAAATTAAAGAATTTGGCTAATGTTATTGGGGTCGTATAGATTTACACCTACAATTTTCAAATTTTTGCAGGTCTATTGTTGTAACAAATGTGGAGCATATTGAAACGTTCGACAGAAATTTTTTTGTCATAATTTTTTGCTTTATCAAAGGAAAGTGTGGGTAATCCTTTTTAACCACCTTGTTCAAGGACTAATAATTTTTTTTCGTATCGAACGAACCGAGTTTTCATTTCATCTAACTCGTCTCTTCGATTTATTTATTCTGTCAAATCTCTGACGAAATAGTTCAGCACTTAGGCGATGAACTTCCTTTCGTGTATTTTCTTGATTTTACACTGACGATAACTTAAGTTACTTTGACGGCATCTAGCCACGAATATTATTGACGACGGTTTATGTTCCGAAAATGTAAATGACAGAATCGCATTCCAACAATTTGTCTTGTTCTTGAATCGTCTTTTGCTACGTCATTTGCTGATTTTCACCTTCGGGGAAAGTTAATTTCTAATTTCATAAATATGGTTATGGTACACAAAATTCTGTTGAAACTTTTAATATTGTAGATGTTCAATCAACCTTGTTGAGATGACGGCACTGATCTCGCCTATAGGCGCTTACTTGATGAAGGAGGAAGAGTAACTGATGAAATTCCGTATCACGGAACTAATTTCCATGAACGCATATAACATAATTATTCGTTGTTCTCATGGGTATTGATATTATTTACAGCAATGGAAGTGTGCGAGGCGAAAAATAGAGGCAAAGTAGGAATGCTGGTTGCCTTCCCCTGGGCGATTGGGACCATGACTTGGGGCGGAGCGGCATACCTCTTACGGGACTGGCAGTGGCTTAACTTTGCGACCATCTTGCCACCAGCTTGCCTTCTGCCATGTCTTTGGTAAAGATTCCTTCAGAAATTGAGAATAATTTGAGACCATATTGATTGCCGCTTATATCGCTTAATGTTTTAGTATAAGGGTACGCACACAGCGAAAGCAGGTTTGCCCGCGCAGGCAACCTGCTCCAACCTGCCACAAGAATGTAAGTGTTCACAGTGAAAACATGTACGAATAGGCTTCTGTTTTCTATGGTTTCAGGCGCCAGCCTGAGCAGGTAACCAGCACGCTGGCAACCTGCTTTCACTGTGTGCTTACCCTAAGATTAGATAGTTTAGAGAGATGAACGCCTCGCCTCACGAACGATTTGGAGAACAGAAAATAAATGGGAACGGATCGCCGTCATTACAGAAGCATTACGTTTCTATAATGTAAGCTGTTTAAAAATGCTATATTTTTCGAACGATAATTCACACCCAACACCATCATTTCATCACAATTTCATTTCTTTCGCGATGACAGGTGGTTGGACGAGTCGCCTCGATGGCTTGTGGTGCATGGCCATCATGATAAAGCGCTCAAGCTTCTCAAGAAAGCCGCCAAAATCAACAAGTGCTCGGAACTGCCGAGCGATGCGGAACTTCTGGAGGTCATGGAATGCACGCAAAAGGTTTATGTCAGTTCAAAGTTAACTTTGAAGTAAGGAGCAGACCCAATAATGTCGAAGCGCTGATGAAAGTCTTGTAAAAACTTGTTGCCAACGTGTTAAAGATTAGACGAGAAAATTGTCAACGGATGTTCCCCGCAACTTCCAGTCTTGTCAGAATATTCGAGCCAAACGCCGGCAACTATCTTGTAAAAATAAACTGATCTGGATAAAATTCCAATCGCAGGTATTTTATTGCATTTCGTTGTTCATAAAAACTTCTGCTCTTACGGATAAAACGTAAATTTTGTTTCAGTAAAATACACTTTAAAAAGTAACACGTTTAAATTAGTAAAACATAGTGTACAGACATTGTACTGCTTGATGAAGCTTTCAGAGAATAGCCACAAGAACTAGCGTTGGGGCACAAGATCGCTAGTGGAGCAATAGAGCGTGGTGAGTTCATGTAGAAACTCACAGTAGGGCTGGCGGGACACGACTGACTAACCGATTCACAGCCGCTCGAACCTGACAACTCACGACCACTGCGGTAAGGTTGGGCTCAAATGTTACTGAGATGACTACTCCAAACGTGACGGTACAATTATTCCTCTGATATGTACGAAAATAAATGCATGTGAAAATGATAAAATGAACGCTGTTAACCGTGAATGACTTCAATCGTACACAAATTTGAAGTATCGAGTCACGAAAGGCATAAATATGAATGTAGAGGCAATGGTACGAACCGGCTTCGAATGCGCTGATTTAATAGATAAAATAACGTTAATTCCGTGTATTTTGTGTCAGTTTACATAGGACACGTGAACTAATGCACTGCATTGGCTCACAGGATGGAGCGCAAGAGCCAACTATAGGTATTCAGTGGAGTTACGTGGTGCTTAGTCAGTCTTGTGTTGTGCTCGTGAAAGTTTTCACGTGTGTGATGTTATAAGTGTTTGTTTTTTAGTGAAAATACCTTGGTGCGCGGCTATGGCCTTATACCTTATGTAATAGTTGGTCAGAAGTTTTCCTCTAATGCGGAACTGTATAAGAAACGAGACTCTGTTAGAGGGTTGTTTTATATACAGATGCTCTGACGTACGGCTTCATATCTCTTTTAGGCGTTGCAAGTCAGCAGCAGATCGAACTTCTGCGGTCCTCGTGTGTTTAAAATTTAGCAAGCCCTACAAAAATCAGAGCGAGCAAGTTTGTATTCAACCGAGTCTTTCATACTCTTAAAATCAATTCAAAAAGTTTGCATTTATATGTTTGTTGCACTTTTGTATTATTTTGACATTAATCACAAAAACAGCCATGAGACAGGACTCAAAGTTATATTGACGCAATCCACTTTCAATTTTATTGCCCCCAGAAAGCTGCCATCAACAATGGTATTAGCGGAGGTCGCCAGCTGCTTCTGCTCCTGAGGTGAAATTACCAGATATTTTTTTAGCACAAAAATTAAAAAAAAGTTGAGCGTAGTTAAAATTGCTTCTCGAATTACTGAAAAGTTCATCAAAAATACGTCGGAAAGGGTTCATGAAATTTGATCAATCGTTGGGATCAAATGACAAATTACTTAGTACGTGAACCAACGGAGTTAAAAATAAATTTAGAATTCCACTGGCGGGTCGAAGTTTATGACTAGAATTTCCTCGTTTAAGCCCCCCTACACATGTCATAACTCCCAGGGGTTGAAATATAATTTGATTTGTACCAAAATAAAATACTCCGGATATATAAAGTATTTGTAGTATTGTAATATAAAGTATCTAATACTACTCGAGAGTTCCCACAATCAAGTCCTGTTTCTGTGTTTAATCTCGAGTTCTCCCACACAGCACAAGTGAGCTGCGAGGCAGAATGGTGGTGATGTGGTCACTGTTCTTCATATCAGCGTTCATATTCTACGGACTGGCCTTTAGTGCTGGAGTGTTAAGTGCAGATCCCTTCGTCTATATGGTGCTGCTGGGTGTAGTCGAGATACCTGCGTACGTGGCTGCGGCTCCAATGCTCGACTTTTTCGGCAGGAAGCTACCTATTAGTTTCTCCTACCTCATCGCGGGGATTTCAATCATATGCCTCGTCTTCATTGATAGAAGTTGGTTCATATTTTTAATTTATGCTTCATTCAAGCGTATTAATCTCTGTTCGTTGTCATTATGAAATGTAACATGAATTTTTTTTTTAATTTGTCGGTAAAATTTGTTTGAAGAAAATTTACTGAATGCGTCGATCATAAGATATCTCCAGTTTAGGCACCCGTAAGTTGGTGACAGTTACGACTGAATTCTATTCAAGGTTAGGCTATTTTCGGCAATGATCGTATAATGAAAATATCATCAGTAACATTATATTATTAATTTGCTAATTATATTATAGTCATCAAGGATAATAATAAGCAACAATTAATAATAAAAATCACTTTGAAAACAGTAATATTCAACTGTGTCATAGAAATAATGACGTGCAGACAAGAGCTGGCAGGTCCTCACCCTGGCTATGATCGGCAAGATGGCTTCCACGTCAGCGTACCAAGCGCTTCATATTCCTCTGTCAGAACTCGTTCCCACAGAGGTGCGGGTTCAGGGAATCGGATCATCGCTTTTCCTCTCAAGAATTGGAGCCATCATCGCGCCAGTCATTACCGATACCGTGGTAGGTGTTGATTAATTATACACAAGAGAATTTATTATGCATTCGACTTCTCAATTCAGAAAAATATTCAAGCGAACTTAATTATTATCATGTTAACTGTTCCATGATCTTTCTAATGTGATAATAAAGTGCACCATTATGCCACATACAAATAAACCTTCTAGAGTTCCTGTGAGACAGCAAATTTTGCAATTTTATTCGATAATTTCTGTGAGACTGCAAATTTAGCCGACTTTATTCGATAATGTAAATTAATTTTGGCAACTTCTGGTGAGTAAAATATCAATGTGACTGCCATATTAAAGGCTTTCGAGAAAAATGAATTGTTCGCAAAATTGTAAACTTTTCAGGGGGAGAAACTGCCGTGGTTGCCACCACTGGTAATCGGCAGTGCGAGTGTCGCCGCAGCGCTGCTCGTGTTGCTGCTGCCTGAGACCAAGAAACTACCAATGCACGACACGCTCTCTGAGCTCTGGTCCAAGCAGCACCCTGGACGAGAACTCAAGCTAACTCAAATAGATTCATAAAGATCTTCGTGCGCGGAAAAAAGCCTACAAAACAACAAATAACCCAATTACGCGGTACGCGCCTTTTAATCTCGTACTATATTTTTAATTTTTCTTTCCTCTATCTGACGACTCTGTGCCGCCTTTTATTCTCTTACACACTTATCCGTTGCACCGCACCACCACCATCTCCAGCGCACGCAAAAAAGTACGATATCTTAATTTTAATTAATCCTATGATGCAATAAGATACCTATTAATAGTTATAATGTATTGTATTATGTATAATGTATTTTAATTTATACAGGTTTGATTGAAGACCAGAGCGTACTTTTTATTAACAATCTTCTTATTGTTTTTTCGATGAAGGAAGAATCCATTGATGATGGAGCTGCGCGCGGCTTTAGAACGCAATTCCGTTTTGACATTCACTTACGAATTTGGATAAAATCGCACGTTGCCTTTTCTGGACGTCCTGGTGCAAGACGATAATAATTCGTTCGTCACTAAAGTTTATCGAAAACCTACAGACGTCGGAAAGGTCCTGAACCAAGAAAGCGAATGTCCCCAGCGCTACAAAATCAGCACAATACGCGCCTTCATACATCGAGCGTTCAAGACCTGTACCTCTGCTCGTGACTTAAAAACTGAACTCCGAACCTGCAAACAAATTCTTGTCAACAACGGCTATGCAAACAAAACGATTGACAAAGAAATTTCGAATATCAGAGCCCGTCAAAACCGAACAGATGATTCCCCATCAAGAGGTTGCGTCATCAGAATTTACTATCAAAATCAAATGAACGATGGTCATAGGACTGACGAACGAGTCCTCAATTCAATTGTGCAAAATAACATCAGCTGCACAACAGTAACTGATCGAATACAACTTATGATTTACTACAGAAACAAAAAGATCAAGAATTTAATCATGAAAAACAATCCATGTAAAAAGTCCGGACCGCTACAAGAAACCAATGTTATTTACAAATTTTCCTGCATGAAAGAAGGTTGTAGACTTCTCCAAAATGTAAATTACATCGGTTTGACAAGCACAACATTGAGTCGTAGACTCACATGCCATCTGCAAGCTGCAGGACCAAAGAATCATATGCGGGAGGCCCACAACAAGACCATTACCCGTGCCACGTTGGAGGCCTGCACCAGCATCGCGATGCGGTGCCCCGACACTACGACTGTCGATAGCGGAGGCTCTCATCATTAAGGACGAGTCTCCTGCTATCAATTTGCAAACCGCGGGATTCGTCAGGACGTTGAAATTATTCTCGGATTAATTTGATTTTCGATTTTGAGCTGTATCTACGATACTTCCTGTATAAACTTATGTCATGTCTAAATTTCAATTTTAGCGTTGTAATAACTGTTCACTTGCTTGATAATGAATATTGATATATTCGAAACGTCGCATTCCAGTAAAATGTCATTCGGTAATCTGCTTTTTGATCTCCAAGCACCTGCAAGAAATTTCGTTCGGCTCATCAAAAAAAAAAACAATAAGAAGATTGTTAATAAAAAGTACGCTCTGGTCTTCAATCAAACCTGTATAAATGAAGAACTTTTGCCTAACTACACTAATGTATTTTAAATGTATTGACGATTAATAATTATAATAGCAATAGTGAAATCGCAATTTTTCACTTGTACGCTTCTCGTAATCTTTCTGTTTAGACCTTCAGTCATCCGACCGAAGTTTACCCTGGACATAAATTGTCATTCGTAGTCAAACCTCTTTATTGGCGAAATACTTCGGTGAGTTAAGTCCTGTGATTTATTAGTCTTTCATTATTGATTCTGATATGATACATTTTTTTGGTTAACTTGGATATAATTTTGCTTATATTTGTTTATCTTATGTATTAAGATAGTTAATATTTCTGATGTCATTCTTACAGAAACTATGTTTTCAAGATTACCCAATAAAACTCCTTGAAACCTGAGTATCGAAATTTCGCCTAAGCCACTAGGGCTTAACAAATAGAGTTATCGGCATTGAATATTTGACCTACAAGTTATCCTCAAGAAAAATCATTATTGTGAGTAAAGACCAGACTTCTACGACGACACCGTCGACACGTGCTTCAAACACACATGTGAATATTTAATATTTAAAATTGGTCTAATTTGGCAGAAGCTTTACTTTTATGCAAGTTTGATCAAAGACCAGAGCATGCTTTTTATTAATAATCTTATTCGCTTTCTCAATGAGTCGAACAAAATTTCTTGCTGGCGCCGTGAGATAAAAAAGCAGGTTACGAAATGGCATTTCAATGGATTTCGACGTTTCAAAAATACAATTTTCATTATCAAGCTGGTGAAGATTTTGCAACACTTGAAATTGAACTGTGGAAATGACAGTAGTACAAATCAAGGGTATTGTGGATACAATTTGATTTGTACTACTCGAATTTCAAAAGTTCAATTTCTAGTGTTGCAAAACCTTCACCTGCTTGATAATGAAAATTGTATTTTCGAAACTTCGCAATCCATTAAAATGCCATTTCGTAACCTGCTTTTTGATCTTCCGGCGAGAGCAAGAAATTTTGTCCGACTCATTGAAAAAAAGAACAAGAAGATTATTAATAAAAAGCAGGCTCTGGTCTTTAATCAAACTTGCATAAATGTAATATTTGAGGCAAATATTATTTCTGATTACGAGTACTTGTACGAACCTAAGCGTTAGAATTAATGTGATGACGAAGAATTCATCAGACTTTCAGAACAGAGGGGAGTGGCGAGCTGCCATTTCTCTAGGATACATCAACTGTCGTCAGTGCTATTCGGCTCTACAAGTTATGCACGAAAGCAGAAAGCGTTGAGGCCCGAAATGTTGTCCAGAATGCGAGAAGTCTAGACCCTGTGTGGCATCGGAGAAGTATTTACAGTGAGAACTTTGATGAATATTACATGGATTCCATAAACCGATCGATGAGGTATGCAATTAAGCAAACAAATTCCATTTGATAACGTCAATCGTATCTGCACTACTCGAGAAACTGCACTAGACGATGTTCGTTCGAGTGTCCGTTTAACCGCTTGGCCACTTTTTATAACATAACATACAAGTGTTGGTGTTAAAAATGAGGTTAAGTCGACTCTAGGCGTACCAAAATCTTCGAAGCTATCAGGGCTCGAACCCGCAACTTATCGCTCCAATCTGTCTGCTCTTAAAACGACTCGCCATTCCGCTGAAGTTGTGTGAAAACTGAATTCCGCTTTGATATAACGCTAAAACAAAATAGTGGTATAAATCTATCATATACGAACACATTCATACTAATGATACGTGAAGAACGCCATCTCAGCTAGGAAAAGTCTTTCAGTAAAAATGTATTCTTAGAAAAAGCTACATCAAGGCTCAAAAGTTGCAATACAATTTAAAAGGAAAACGGTATACAGAACTCAGTATTGGGGTCAAGGTGTTTGGGACTGTTGCTGTTAATACGGAAGAATAAATTCATAACAATCAGTGGTGGTAATTATATAGCTTCATAACAATCAGTGGTTAGCTTCGATAATTAGCGAAGTTAACCTTTTCCTTATCGGATTAGCTTTTCAGCTAACTTGGAAAACCATTAGCGAACCAATTACCTTCCGCCAAATAATTTATTAATTAGCATCCGCTGGCAGTCCGATAAAAATATTTCAAAATCTCCTCTGATAGAAAATTCAGGTGTTAATATTTAATGCTAAGTACCGTTAGCCGTGTGCCACACTGATGGCTGATTACGTCAACATATGTACGGCAATCAATCACGTCTTGTGTTACTGCTACATTTTGTAGTAGCACAAGACGTGATTGATTGATGCAGCATTGAGAGGCTGATGTTCAAGGGCAAAAATCATCACTTCGAGGAGATGAAGAGCAAGCCATATGTAACCCAGTCTTACTTTTACTTACTTTTTAGCTTTTACCTGTGTTTTTATTTCTTATTCGTTTAATAAACTGTATGTTGAATGTCAACTACTGCTTAATTTCATTTGCATATTTAATTATTTATGCACATCTTGATCACCATCTGATCTTGGCATGCTACACCTTTTTTGGAAAGCTCCTTGTCCATGCTACAACATATGAAAAATTCACCTCTGTAGTTCTGTTTTTCAGAGTTTCAGAGCTCCTAAAATAATTTATCCAAAGGTAAATAGACATACTAAAAGTTAGCAGTAAATTCAGCAAAATTTTTCGGCGATTTATCGGTTTAGCGTTATAAAAGCTAACTTTTCTGTTAGTGGATTAACGGTTATCGATGCTAACAATGGCGGGATAAATGCAGGGTTAGCAGAAAATAGTGAAATTTACTTGATATTTATGACGATTAAATCAGAATGAATGCTGCATTTGTGACAAATAAATTTCTATGAACACAATATTAGTGTCATATGTAGTAAAGTCTCACCGCTTTGTTGGTAACGTACAGGATGAGATAACAAGGACTAGGGTATCATTGTGACGAAATGGTTTACGATGGCCGATTTTCAAGTAACGGAAAGGTCGTGGTGATAGTTCAGTTAGCAACGAATATGTTGTGATGAACGCTTAGCTAACAACGAAGAGGTTGTGGTCTTAACTACAGCCGAGATATACTAGGGATCACTGACACAAGGACGGATAAAAGGTCAAAGAAAACACATCAATACTTTATTGTAGCGGCTTTACTCGGGCCCGACTCGCAGCAATCAGTTCATCTTGATGCACATCATTCGGCGCATCAGTCGCTCTAAATTTTGGTACAGAAAACTTGGCGTTAAAGGAATTATCACAGCACGTTTCAGCAGCAGAAGCGAATCATCGTTTAGCTTTAGAACGAAGGAAACAACAGGGAAACCATTCTGTGAAATTAATTCGTCAATCAACAAAAATAAACAGAATTTCTGGTCCGACAGTAGTTGGATGATAAATGACGTGATATTTATATCATTTATCTTATAATTAATGCCAAAAATTACTTTTTATTATTAGCAGACTCACACAATTTCATGAAATTTCAGCACAGAAAAAGAAACAAGCGCTGACCGCAGAGATCTCGCAACAACCGTTAAAAAAATATATAGAATATTTCCCATTCTTCCACTGCGGTAAAATGAATATGCTTGCCTGAACTCACCAAGTCACGTAAATTTCTGCTTTAAATGACTTAGCTGAAAGAGCTATGAGAATAAGTTTGAAAACACCTGATATGATATGTACACACTAAATTAGACTAGGAAATGAGCGTATACTTTTTGCAAAAAAAACTTATTCCACTTACCAGAATATAAACTTGAAATTAGATAACGGGATAACAGATGTATTAATATTGTTATGTACGCAGACGGCACTCAGGATAAGAGATAATACAGTAAACGTGATCTAGCTGAAGACGCTACACTATGAAATAGGCAGTGACGTGTTGCCGGCACAAAGGGCACGCCTGACGCTGCTCCATCAGATGACTGAAGCACGACCAGCAAACACACACATGACAGCATGGCAGCAGTGCGATGGACACCGACTCCACCTGAGCGTATCAGAAAACACTCAAATTATTGTCATGGTACATATTATATAATTTTAAGCATGTAAAGATTAGCATTATAATTCAACAGCGACGCAAAATTATGGTAAAAAATCATAAGTAACAAGACACCTGAGCATCAAAAAACACACATTACTGTCATAGGACAAATGATATACTTGCACGTATGAAAGTTTAGCATTTCATTTCAAAGCGCATCCATATACTGGAAACAAAAAATAGTCAATAAGAATAGTATTGTTTTCATATTATTAAAAAAAGCAAACGAGCTCCTGTAAAATAAATGAGAATGAACTAATTTTCATTCTGTTTATGGTGCCTGAGATGCAGGTTTCCAAGAGTGGATTCTTATCCTGTCGCAACTTGCGCACTGACCTGACATACAACACAATCATCCGATGCTGGCTCAGATATGTTATGAGTGCCAGGGAAGGGAGCATGAGAGCCTGAGAGCAATTCTTGCCCTATTGCAGGTGAGGCTCGGTCGTCGAGAGAGTTCTGACCGTCTGCCGGTGAGGCTCTGCCGTCGAGACAGTTCTGACCGTCTGCCGGTGAGGCTCTGCCGTCGCGACAGTTCTGACCGTCTGCCGGTGAGGCTCGGCCGTCGAGACAGTTCTGACCGTCTGCAGGTGAGGCTCGGCCGTCGAGAGAATTCTGGCCGTCTACAGCTGACTCTTGAACGGCTGGATGTAACGCTTCAACATTGGCAATCACTTTTCGTGAACTAAGAAGTAATTTGTGTTCATCCAATGGTAAGTTACGTTCAACTCCAGGCAATGTTTGCGCTCTTGTGGTCATTTTATTATGAGATGAAGGAGAATCTACGACTACAGACGAATCATAATCAAAAACACTATTGGAAGTTTTCCTATCGCAATTTTGGACATTTTCCGGATAATTGCCGATTGAATCTTTATTCTCAGATGAACTTCTTATACAAGGAGCATGCCCAGGAGCATGAGTTAATGTCTCCATTTGGTAATTATAGTTAGAGACAGTTATAGACGAGTCACTCATGTTTAAGGACGAGCTGGGTACATTGTAACGTGACTCGGAGCTGTCATTCGGCACAATGGCCTCACATATTATCTCGTTCCCTGATTTGCAGTTTTGACTTCTTACTGGATTAGAATCATTTGGTGAGGCTGAAGGCGAAACAGAATTTGGGTAGCAGGCATGACTAGACGTCGGAACATTTGAGGTGTAATCAGGCACTTCCTCCTGATACTCGGTTGCTCTGATGCGCTTTCTGACACTTACGCCAACGATGTTCTTATATTCGTTTAAATTATTCATAGAATTTCTAACTGAATGATTCTCATTGGAAATCTCTGCGTGTTTCTCTAAATGTTGATTCTCTCGTGTACAAACACAACTGCAATTTGAAACAGCTACTTCTACACCAGAAGCTACTACATCTTCATCAGTTCTCATTTTTGAGGTTGATTCATTCACAGTTTCAGCAGTACTATTAAGGACATTTTGAGCACCAAATGAATCAACTTGACCATCGTCATGGCTCTTATGGTTACTAGGATGACATGGAGAAAAAGACTCGTCAATGTCTTCAGAAGCAATCCCGGCTTCTTTACTCAAATCTGGCTTGGCATGCGTTGCAGGAGCCTTTGAACTGCTGGTCGAGTTGTGACTGGTGCCATTCGATTGAGTGTACAACGTCTGGGTGGCACAAAAGTAAGAAAATAGTTTAAACCTCCTGAGATAGCACGGCTGTCGCATGGCGATAAAATAATTTATCGTGGCAAGTTAAAATAAAAGGCTAATTTGTAATCTTCCGGCACAGTGAACATTAGGTTAGCAAGGTAAGACGTGCTCAGAGAACTGCCTGACTGCCTTAGCTATTTTGTACAAAATTTTGTAAGGAAGCCCTCTGCGATTCCGGATCAAGCACCTACATATAAAATATATAAATAATTCTACTCACAGTGAGCATTGTGAGCTGTCCTGTGCACTGCTTCAGGTACTGGTACAGTACGCGGCTGTGCTCGGGACACAGAGCGTCGGCCACGTGAACAATCGTCACCAAACAGCCCTGAGATTATCCACAGTAAAACGCGTTCGTTCATTAGAATTAATCAGGCGATACGACCGTTACGCAGCAAAGTTTTAAATATAGGCGTTTTCGAAGGTTATACCAAAACGACTCACAGATGCGACTTTTTGCGGGGGATTTGAGTCTCTAGTTCAGACTGTAACTGAGGAAATAAATATCATAAAGATTTAAATGTGATCAATTCATCACTTGCCTACAGGCTCTATAAGCATAATCTCGTCACTTGAACGTAATGTTACATTACCTTATGGCACGAAGTACCTCATTAAATAATTGCAACAAAGTTATCTTCTAGAATCTAGAAGAAAGAACACTGAACTCGATTAAAACAATGTTAGTAGCAAAGAATAAGAATGAAATGCATCACTTGTCTACGTTAAAGATGATACTCTAAACTATATAACATGTTGGCTAATATACTAATAAGCAGGAAGATTATTCTTGCTATTTTCTAAATAGATCCAGAATGAAAAGGGTCAATCTTAGGCATCTTCTTACATATTTTTACTGCAGCAGGTGAATGCTCTTGAGTTTAATCAGACGATATGTTCTCTAATGACTGACACATGAGAGCAGAATCTTAAAACTTAAACGTTGAAATATATTCCACATAACTGGAACACAAATAGAGGTCCCATATCATGAATGACGAGTTATGACGATAGCTCACCACTTGGACATCGTGCTGACAAGCGTCGGTGTTAAGCTGAACCACGACGAGAGGATATCGCTGCCTCGGGGCGCATCCTAACGTCAGCGCCTCCTTCGTCTCCAGCAGCAACTCGTGATCACCAGCCTCCAGGACCTTGCTGAAGTAATAAAGTTTCGATAATTCATGCGCAACTCCTTTTCAGTATAAGTGAAACTACAAAATTTGAGGGAATTAGCATAAACATGAATAAGCTTCCAGTTCTTATTCTCATTATACATCAGGGTTCAAATCAGGGACCAGCGTTGTTCAAACTTCAGATTAAGTAAAACCAAAATGAAAACCTGAAAAATGTAAAACCTGCCGCCTTGTAGCCCCTCAAAAGCCGTGTCATTGACGACGCAGTTGCTAAAGTGTTGCCAGGGCGCGTGCAGCAACTGCGCGAGATCGCTCATCAGCGCCCCCCACCACCAGCGCACCAAACAACCGCGGCCAAGCGCCCCGCAGCGTACGCGAGCCTTGAGGCCAGACTCTTGCACATCATCTTTGGAGAAGAGATAGAAATATGAGACACTTAGGACTTGGCTTCAATAGACACGCCCACCGAAGTCAAAAGCAATCTCATTACAACCTCTACTGTGAGTCAAAATTTAGTGTGAAAGAACACAATTCTCTGAAATGTGGATAAAACCAGAGGGATGCATTAGAAGACCAAACAACGAGTAATACACACTAATGAGTATCATTAGTTACTGAATACCAGCAAGGATGAATGTTATGTAAAAGCAAAACTTTCAGTGGAGCTACCCAGCGAATAGGTATTTGACTAGTGATCCACAATGTAGTTTAATGATTTATGGCTTCGCCTTCAGTGAGCAAGGCCAAGCAAAGTTACCATCGCCTGAAAATACTCGATTTGATCTCTAAGCATTTCACCTTATACAATATAGGTATAGGTACTGGCGTTATAACTGTACCTATATAACTATATATAACTTACAACTATGAGTCATTTCAACAGGCTGTATTTACGGAGCACATAATAAGCTAATAAACTAATCACAGATCATACTCGTACGCAAGAAATAGAAGAAGTACTGGATGTACACCTACTATCAGCTGAAGTGCAGAGTGCGAGTGTGTAGGGCACAAAAAGCTTTTGTACCGCCACTTGCACAGGCTGATGTTGAACGTGTACCACTGAGGATGGGTTGTCATGTTGGAACCTGGAGGATCAAGCTAATTAACACAAAACATTCTAAATTAGATAGGATTAGGTCTAATGGATTGTTGGTCATAATTCAGACCATTGAAATTTCCATCAAAATTCATGAATATTTAGGCTTAATAAATTATATTAATTGACGTCCTAACTGTCAAAGCACATAATAACGAAGCTATCATACGCGTAATGAAGCCTTCAACAATGAAAAAAAAAATGTTAGACCCCAAAATTTCAAAGGTGCAAATATAGGTACGTATAACATAAGTCATGCCCAAAGTTCTATTATTACCTCAATATGAGAAGAGTAACGAGCAGCAAGCATGAGATGATGAGGGCACCTGAGATGGCGTTGGTAGCCTCAGCCACAAGAGCTAAGAAACCTGCCATTATTGGCTGCTCAATTGATTTCACTTTATTCTAGCGGGAAAGATTAATTCGCTAGAAATAGAAAAAAATATAACTCCGTACTCAGTGCAGTGAGTGACAGAGAGCGCATTTTCTCGTCGACGAAAACTTGAGGTCACGGACAGACAGACAGACAGACAGACGGACGAGCGGACATGGCGAGCACAATAGTGCATTTTTTCCATAAATGAGAAAATGCGCTAAAAATAGTCATAGTTACCTTAGTGGATGGAATTTTGTTAAATGATGCAACATTAAACATTTTCTAATGATAATTTAGCTTTTAAAATGCTGTTGTTGAACCAGCACCTGCAGAGTATAAGTCTACAAATTGATTTTGAGCAAACAATCTTATTAATGAACAAAAACATCTTTGGAATTAAGAGCGTGCTGACATCCGGTCTAGACCTTTAGATCGGTCATTCACGCTGCATAAAAACTCTTTACTAGCATCAAAAAATTTGAAGTTCACGTCACACTAGGAAGTTAATAAAGTTCAATAAATAGGTATTCATAGACAATCCTAAGACTAAAACATTCCGTTATGCATGTCCACACCCTAAAAATAAAAACAGTAACAATGTACTACGGACATTCGGCACGGTTACCTTTGAATTCCCACCCTCCCTTCTCTCAACCCTCCACTCCTCGAGACCTCTCTCATATCATCATCCTCCTCTCCCTCAACTTCCACATGTTTTCCAAATATCTCTTCACACTCTTAAGCATAGCCGCAGTTGCTCTATCAGACAGACCCACAATCATTGCCATCCACTCTTCGCTTGTTCTCTCATGCCCCACTTCGCTAATCTCCCCTCCTTCATTCAGAATCACCTCCATCGTAGACTTACGCTTTCTCTCATACGCTCCACACACCATGACCAAGTGCTGCACAGTTTCCTTCTCATCCTCATCACACATAAAACATTTATTTTCCCTCCTCTCATTCCACATGTATGTACGTCCATTCACACCAAGCGCCTCTGCCCTAAGACAAAATAAAGGTCCCCACCTCTCAACCATCATAAATGCATTCATATTTTGGCATCACTTTCATCTGATACAGTTTTAGAGTGTTTTTTCCCTCCATTCCTTGCTTCCACACGTTCAGGCCACAGTCTTTCACTCGCTTATTTATTTCTCTTTTCCACTCTTTCATCCCAGTCTATCCCAATCGCACCCCGTACTGTCACCACCCATTCGTCTTTTGGCCCAGCAGGCCCTTGGCGCACCCATGATGCTTCATGCATACCACACTTACGTACCAATGCACGACATCTACGTGCCCATTTGCTCACCTTCATGTTCCTCATATACATCTTTCGTGCCCAACGTTCATCGTCCATTCGCTCCAGTCTCACTTTATACCTCAAAACTGATCTCATTCCTTAAAGGTACTCCATCCCATGTCTCCTCTCAGGGCCTCAACCGCAGTTCACCTGGGGCTCCTAGTGCCAATCTCGCTACTCTATCCTGTCCCATTTCCAGTTTATCTAGCTCATCATCACTATATGCTATCACATCCAATCCATACATAATACTAGGCACTGCCACACTCTTCCACAATTCCCTTAATACTTCATACTTACTCGCTCTCACTTTTGCTGCACATCCAAGTAAACCCAAAAATTGATTTGCCTGACTTAAATTCGCGGCCTTTTTTCTCTGACATCCCTCCTGGTCTACACATATCCCTAAGTGCCTATACTCATTCGTCCTAACAATCTCATTCCCACCCAACAGCAACACATGGCCCATTTCCTCAGCCGATCCATTCACAACAAATAATTGGCTCCTTTCCGCACTGAATCGCACATTGAAGTCACTCCCATATTCGGTCACACAGTCTAGCATACTTTGTAGTTCTTCGCTATTTTCACTCATAATCACAGCATCATCAGCATACAGAAGCATTCTTAACCTTTCGCCGCCTACACGCACACCAACATCCATTCTCCTCACCCTCGTGGCCATCTCTTCTGTGTAGAGGTTGAAGAAAAGCAGCGACAGGATGCATCCTTGTCGCACGCCCCTCCTGCTCCTCACCTAGTCTGTCTCTACATTTCCAAGTCTATATTTTGCTCTAGTATTCACATAAATGCTTTTCACAAGCCTCACATATTTTTCACTCATTGCAATTTCTCCCAGTCTTTGACACAGAAGCTCTCTATCAACCCAGTCATACGCTTTTCTATGCTTAGAAAAGCCCCGTACACTCTCTTTCCATTCTCCCGATCAGTTCATTGACAACAAATATATTATTTTCTGCTTTTCTGTCTCGTCTAAAATCATTTTGTTCTACGCAAGCACTTTTTCGTTCCTCATACGCCTTTGCATCCGCTCATTCATAACCGCACAGAAAATCTTAACACTGGTGTCAGCAAGAGCAATCGGTCTGTAATTCTCAAGTTCTTTCTTGCTCGTGTGGCTACCCTTATGTAGCAATGTTACACGGCTGTCATTCCACGCATCAGGTACACATTCATTTGTCCAAACAATAATGAATAGATCAGTCAGTCTGCCAATTGCACTCTCACCTCCATACTTATACATCTCATCCTTTCTAGCTGTCTTATTATTCTTCAGTCGCTTTTCCACTCGTTTCGCTTCCTCATTTGTAATATCCTCATCTATGCCACTCATATATTTACGTTCTGATGAAACAACGTTTTCGCCTGGCGTAAATAAGTCATTCATCCCACCAATATCTTTTTAGAATTCCTTTACATCCTCAGCCAATCTTATTCTCTCAGTTACTCTTGTCCCCTCTTCGGAAGGCATACCTTTCGTCTTCACCTCTCTGTCCCTTCACAACGAATTTCCATTTCGCTCATACTCAACAATATGTTATCTAATGCTATTTTTGGTTCTTCTCTGTTGTTCTTCATACCTCAGGCATGCTTCCTGATATTCCTGCTCACAATCCTCACTCTCTTGCCTCTTTTTCCGCAGTTGTCTACAAACTCGAATACATTTCTTTCGTTCATTTGTCACTTTCGCGTCCGTCCTCCACCAGATTTCCCTCATTCCTCGACTTTTGCGTTTATTCTTAGTTGTCCTTGCACATGCGGCCCTAACAGCCTTATTCAAACATTTCTTAAGTTGTTCATTCATAGCGTTCACATCGTTTATAACTTCTCAATCCTTCTCTTTGACTTGAAGTTATCCCAGTCAGTCCCTCTCATCTGCCACTTACATTTTTGATCAGTCTCTCACACATATGTATATTTCATGCATTTTAAACTCTATAACAAGCATATTATGATCATTTCTGATATCAAACACACCAGCTACACCCACCTCACATTCTCATCACTTTTCTTCTTGCATTCTCGTTCACTAATATGTAGTCAATTGCTGAACAGTTATCTTTATTGCTCCAGGTAATTTTCCCCTCAGCCAATTTAACATTCATATTTTCCAGGTCATTCTCAAATACAAAATCGTTCAAACGTTCTCCATTCTTGTTCACAGGCTCCCCTAGTATACCCACATGCCCCCCATATCAACAATCATCTCATGGCTATATTCATCAAGCACTTTCTTTATACAGGCATACTTTTTTCTGTTCTCACGCTTAGACATAACTCCCTCCACAGTCATATAACATACGATAATCACCATTTGCATCCTTTCATTTTTTGTGGTTGCATACTCGACCTTTACAGTAAGTATATCCTGGCTCATCTCGCTTTCACCAACACTTATTTCCTCCGCGTCATACCCAGCCCCCAGACGCACAATAACTCCAACTCCCCCGCCCCTTGTTTGTTGCTTTTTCCTTCCCTTATAAAACTTCTCATACTTCCCGCTTCTCAGCCATCCATTCTCTCTCATTCGAGTTCTAGTTGCTCCTACTATATCCATCTGATGTGCTTTCAACTCTTTGCACAAATATTCATATTTTCAGAGACCCAAGCTTCTGATATTTATCAGTCACACTTGCATCATTTTCATATTGTTAGGTCTGGTCACTTTCACACTCTTCCTCTGTCATTCCGTATGTTCTCTCTAATACGTACAATCAGGATCAAGAAAGCTGACATTTCTCGCACCCATTTTAAATCATTCAAATTTAATTTCCATCAGATTCTTGAACACTTTCGTATTTACATCTCTTCTCATTCTCTCGTAAGTATCATCCTCTCCTCTCTAGGTGGCCTCAAAATACTAATAGATGCCTCATGACGATGATTAAAATTAATAATTTAGTCCCCAAGATTAAATTCAGACATAACTAGCCATCAACTGATAGAGAATATTATTAATTGCCAACCAACAAAATAATATACCTAGCAGAGCTATGGTGACGAGGGCTGTGGGGCTGTCACCTGAGAGCACCCAAACATTATCCATGTGATCTCCTTTGAATTTCAGAATGTAAACATATACTAGAGTAAAAAAATATAAATTGAGAAACAATAGCTACAAAGAAGATTTGAATCCAGGTAAATGCATTACTTTACATGCTACATTGTGTCTATAATTTACTTCATTTTTATTTAATTAATTGCTTGTCAAAGAGTATTTGCAACAAGCATAATTTACAGCAGAAATTCAAACAGGAGATCACAGAATAAGTCCCTTGCAGATCACAGAATATATTGAAATATTGCATTGCAGTTCAATAAGTAATTGAAAGGAAGTATATAAAAAATGCACAGTTTTACTTCTTTAATTGGATTCTATCAACCAGGAACATGAGTTTTTGGTTTAAAAATTTACTCTTTACAGCAGGTCATTGTGAGAATGCTTTGGTTCTCAAAAATTTCAGAGTGTAATCCAGCCGCCAATAGACATTTCTATCATAAGTACAATAAGACCTACCTATTCCAATACAAGCATAATAGAAAGATAGTTTAGAGCTACAAGTACTAGTCCAGATAATAAATGGCTTATGCTATGTGGCTGCAAGATCAGAAAAGAATCACGTGGCTTCATTAAAGAATCATATTGTTCGAAATGTTTGACACATAATAAGGGGAGAAAAATAATCATAATCGTATAAAACTTGGGTAGTATAGCAGATGATTCTAGGAGAGTGGGCTCTATTGCCAAGAATCCTGAAACCTATCAACACTTTCAGCAGAAGTGCCTTCTGCAACACTAGTTGGTGCACTAGGCCCTTTTTCAAATGTGTCTTTAACGCTAGTTGCCTTGAGAATACTATGGTCTACTGAAAATTCTGCATCAAAACTTTCAAGACGCTGTTTCTTTTCTGAGGGAAGCTTTGATATCAAAGGTGCCCAAGGATCTTCAAACATGGAACTGGACACAAACTTTTCAATGGGAATATCTGACAGTGGGCCTGAATTATGACCTCTACCTTTGCCTTGATCGCGCCCTCTACCACGGCCCCTATGGTTTTGCCTACTTGCAGGAGATTGAAATGGAGAGACATGTCCATAAGAAGAATTAGGTGAACAATAAGGAGACCATAAATCATTGTTTTGGTGGTAGGGCGATGAATTGTTGCTGTGGTAACTACGGTTCTGAGAAGGGCTGTGGTGGCCAACAAATTGAGCATTTGGGCTTGAGTGTTGTTGGCTGTTGAACTTTTGCTCCCTCCAATTGGGGTTTGGACGGCTGTTATATTGTTGGAAGTGTTGATGCCGTAATGGGCCAGCAGACAACGGTGAGCTCAATCGGCCTCTCTGTAGGTAGGGCAAAGAAATTACTTATTTGTTAATAGAGCAGCCATGTCATACTAAAACTGTACATTCCAACTGCTGTATGTACGAATACTATAATCTCTCATCTGCCTGATGATCATGCTGGCAGGGAATGATTGATATAACCGACATATCAAACTGAAAGAAATTAATCATTCAGAGTCATTTTTATGATAAATATTTGATGCTAAAAAATTTCCCAACATAATCACATTCCAGTACCAAACACTACATTTTTCATCTTGCACTAATATGAACCATCTGTATAGACAGTCAATGTCTGCATCACATTATTGACAAAGTGCTAATATGCAACCATTGCAGCAGGCAAGCAGCCATAGAGCTCTCATGCAATATATATGTAAATTCTATAAACAGATTATTCCATCAAATAAAACATACCAACATTAAACTGCAATAAAATAAATTTCTTACAAATCAACACAAGGATAGTAATATTGGTCACAAACCTGCATTTGCATATGAGGATGCCTGTTCCTTGGAGAGTCAAGCTTGGGTTGTGACAAAAACACAAATCCAGGAACACCAACATCTGAGCCATGGTTGTGCGAATCAACATTGCTTGGAGTCCATGAAATGAATGGACTAGGCAATTGAGAGTTCATCTTTTCAAGAAATATATCCAAAAAATCTTTCAGACAGCAAAAATTATCAGCAATGCAGTTTTTTGGCAAGCTAGTCTAACTTCACCTACTAGAGCTCAAAATTATTCCTGTTATTTCTGAATATTTTTGTTCTGAAACCAAAAAGTTTTATTGTATTAGATTCAAGTAAAACAAGGTCAAATAACTATCTAGCTTATTTACAGATATCAGATATATTGTCAATATATTTTATTTTTACACCCAAAAAAACAAAAACTCTTTGCAATCTGGAACTTGTATTTAATAACTGAGAACAAATCATACTTTAAGAAGATTTAACTTTGCAGATAATTATCCTGCCAGGTAAGGGAAATATCAACACTTGAACATCCATAGCAATGAAGTGTATAATGTGCAGCAAACCAAAAATCCATTATGTCATTTAATAATTCATCAAGTGAGCATTGTGAGCAGGGACAAAATTTAATCGATTTAAAGTGAATTAGGATTTAGGTTATTTGGTTGAAGCCTCGCAATATTTACACACTATATTAATGAACTATTCTACTGTGCAACAAAAAAAACTATTGCTTGCCTATTTATTACATAAAGGGATTGGACAAAATAAGGGAAATGCCTGACATTTCGATAACGTAATTTTTGAAAGTGTTATAAACAATAAAAACATGACATATTTTCATGTTTTATTGCTGCTGCTATTTGATATTTTACCCCTGCACACATATTCTTAGCAAATTTTTGTACCTATAAATCAGTGGTTCTCTAAGTGGGCAGTACCGCCCTCCTGGGGGCAGTGGAAAGATCTGGATCAGTGAGGAAGAAGGGTGCTGTAAGAGGGTGGCAGTTTGAAGTTGAAGTCAAACATTTGAACGTTTATTTGACAATTTGTACACAACACATACAGCACACAGTTCCCAGCAATGGTTTTTTTCACCCATATCTGGGCTTTTTGAACCTTGCCTGGGTTTCTAGTGTAAAATTTTGAAAATATTCAAAATCTTGGTTGTTTGAGTGTGTGTGGGGGGCACTAGGAATTCACTGGGGAGCTAAAAGGGCACCAGACTGCCAAAGTTTTGGAACCACAGCTATAAACTATCCTATAACCTAAAAATGGCAAACCTCTCTGACTCTCATAAGAGGCCAAATTGTTGGTGCCCATATGGCAGAAACTTCCCAAATGCTTGATATTTCTAGAAGTACTATCTCAAAAGTCAAAGGTAGGTAATGACATCCTCATACAGGTAACACATCCTCACAAAAGGTAAACATTCTCAGCAAAGCGCAGGTCTGGCCAAAATTCAAAGTTTTTGATAGTGACCATTGGAACCTAATTTGAATTGTAAGGGACAATCCAAAGACCATGTTAAAATTACTGCAGACATCAATGGACACCAACAGTATCCAGTTTACATAATGATTGTCTGCCATGAGCTACACAGATCTGGATTTTATGGAAGAGCAGCAAGTAGAAAACCTCTGTTTTCCAATACAAATACATCAAACTTACACCCCTTAACAAATATCATTCTCGGAGGGCCTTGGGCCTTCCAACTGCATCTCCCGCCCCCCTTCCATGCTCCAGCTGTCCTGATGGATCTAAGTGACCAACCACTTCCTACAATTCCACCATGCCTATGCTTTCTCTTCATGGGAGACCCCTAACAACCAAGACTATTCAGGAACTTAGGAGGACCAAGTTGATCCATGTAATGCCCTAATCCATACAGCTGAATGGCACTAGAATGCAGGAACATTCAATGATTCTAATGGAATTGAGCATCTCATTTGGCCTACACAATCACCAAACCTGAATTTTATCAAGCCTCTATCATTATGTTCAATTTTTGAGATGCAAGTCAGAAGTTGATTCCTGCATGGCCACACCATCACCATTAAAGGAGCTAGAGGGAGTTTTAACTGAAAAATGAGTTAAAATTTCTTTTAAAACAATTAATTATTTAGATGAATAAAAATACCTTGGGGCTTGGAGAATTGAGGATGTAATTGCCACATAAGGTGGACCTACAGTCCTACACTAGTACACTGGACAAAAATATTATTAGGCATTGTTCAGGTACAGGACTTCAGGTGTTAGCCTTATTTTGTCTGACCTTTGTATACAGGATGGAATTCTAAAATTGACACAGTTTATATATTATATCCAATCCACCAAGACCAGTTTTTTGATCTAACAACATTGTTTGAGGTAAAAAAAATGAACTTCTTAAAGGCTTAAAACACATCATCAGTTTCTATAAAGTAATCACTTGGAAGTTGCATGCCTGCAACTTTCACTCAACAAATAAAATTAGACTTATAAAAAGCTTTTGTTAGTTGAATATTTGTCTCTTAAGTTGACCGCAATGTACTAAACTTCATAAAGTAATTACAACTACGCTGCAAAGCAGTTTTCCCTGATGCACGCAATTTTCCTCCACACGCAATTTAGAGGAGCGGAACTAGGTACTTATCATGAGAGCCGGCATGCGGCTGAAAAAGCTTCATTCCCGGCGCATAATCTACTGGAATGATCATGATTGATGGTATCATACTAAGCGACTATCATTCGTATATTTAGTGCAAGAGAGTTATCAATTATGTTATTTCTGATAGAGGTTTGAAACTTTTTTGTGGATGTCTAAAATTCAAACAAATTATTTCATTACTTTGACTTGGTTGATTCATAGGAAATATTCTAATGCGCATTTATGAAATGCTTTTAAAATAAATTGAATGATTTTATTTATATCTAAAAGAGGGATTAAACAATTGCAAATTGATTTGTTATCCTTTAAATAAAAATCTTTGCATTGAAACTTTTGGATGATGTATCTAACGCAATATTAGTACACCATTAATTAGCATTATCAAGAGTTTAACATCAACCGATTGTTGGATGGCTGCTAATATGTCGCATTGTTCTACCTATAAGGGTCAATAGAACCTAAATAAACTTTGTTCATCAAAAGGATGAAAAGCTTAAATCATGCTTATGTTTTAGTACAATAAATTTTGAAATCTTCTCCAGTCATGGGACTTAAATTCATACTTATAGGTGAACTTGAATTTGTGCTTTGCATCATGCAATTTGCAAAATTATAAATTCTAAATAGGTACCAACTTTTTCCATTTAATTCTGAAAGCATCACGTCTATTAAATTCTAATACAGATCATTAATTTTTGCATCATATGTCTGAAAATCAAGTATTGCATTATAATTTGCATATCTTTTAAATTAAAAACAATCTTTTACATCAAAAACATTGAACTTTTTTCTTACAGCTCCTATGATGATCTTGCTCGTATCGCTACATATTTTAAGTTTAACAATTTCGTCATTTTGAAGGCTCCATTGATTACAGAACTTTAGTTTTCACAAGTGTATTCAAGAAATAGTTTTTCAAATAATAAGGACATTTTCATTACCATAAATAAATGAGGTTCATGAAATACTAATCCAATCATTGTCATTTAATTTAGGATGCATGGATTAAAATTTTACCTTAGTTCCCTCAAGCTTATTTTGACCTGCAGCAGCTGTAGAAATATGTGCCAAGGCCGTTCAATCCAACCCAAGCATTGGGTCACCGCAGAAGTGTCGCATTGTTCTGCTACTGACTGGTCAGCATAACCTCAGCAAAGGTTGAGCATTAAAATCACAAATACCAATGCTTACTTGTTTAGGGGCTGGTCCTTCAAATTGTGGAACCATTTTAAATAACTTTTCCTTGTTTTCATAACTGATCATTACCTTTAGCATCGTATTTATCTATATAGGTATAAAATTAATTATCTATTTTGTTCATGTATCGAATTATGAAATTTAAATATAAACAAATTTTGGGGATTGAAGTTCAGCGAGCATCACCACTATAAAATTTTAATATGCCACATGTTGCATGCCTAAACTCTCTTTGGTTTATAAAAATAAAATAATTACTGCTTCTAAACAACCGTTTTCTAAAAGACACGAGACGTTTGAAAACTCGTGATGGGAGACAAAATCATTCAGGATTTGAAGTGAAGTTATTAAGACAAATTCAACATAATAGGGCAAAAACATGAGAAAATTTGTAAATAAAAGCATATAAATGTGTTTGAATTTTTGAAACAACTTTCCACCATTTAAATCTCAGTGTGGAATGAGGATCAAATCTATTTATTGTGAAATCAAACATCACAAGACCAAAACAAGGTGTCTGGCACCATCTTACCAAATGTCTACATGGCAACACAATGTACCCATATATCATGAATGATTTGCAGTTAATCCTATCATTTTGTGTGGATTTGAAAACTTAGTTGATATTGATAAAATTGTGAGAATTTTCTGCAAAAGTTGACATAATTTTTTTTATTTTAGAACATAGTCATTGCAAAAATTAGTCAATATGGATACACAACTAATGTATGTATTCTACGAAGGAGTTGCGGACTCCATATCAAATTTCAAACCACGCACAAGCAAGATATAGGAAGTGCAGCAGTCTGCAGTTTCCGACAAGCTCAGTGTACCAATTGTCACTATGGTGGAAGGTATAACATGGCAGGTTTTTCATCCATTTTATTATGTTATGTTTTCATCATTCATCCACACTGCAAGTTATATATATAATTGGGATGCTGCCAGATGCATGCTGATCTATGGTCAGCATGACCTTTAGATTGGCCATTCATGCTGCATACAAATCTTTTACTAGCATTAAAAAAACTGGTCTAAAAAGTCTCTGTTTTGATACCTCATACCAGTCACCAAGCATTGTATCTACTCATTGTGCCTGGAGAATTCCAATTTTTTTCTAAAATATTGTGGCTCTAATATCATATAATTTCAGTAGGTATGAAATCTTGTGGCTTGAATGTCATAAATTTTTGTTCAATTGAAAAAATAGCAGTTTGAACTTTGCAAACATGTCATTTCATAAAATTTTCAACTTCCGCAATCTGCATTACTTTACTTACAGTAACCACACCATATTCCAACACCTTAAGGACGTAGCAAGAAATAAATGGCTATAAATAGATCACCTTATGCGCAACTTGAGTTCTGATTGGTTTACGTCACTTTCAAAACACCACACTATGCACCAGCAATGATGAAATGTCACAAACTGCTGCCATATTAATTTA